TTGAAGTTATTCACGTTCTCTTGGGTGGGGTTTTGTTTCATAAGAATGAACAATCGGTATTTTTGATTAATGGAGGCTACTATACCTTTTGTTATCCACTCTTTCCTTTTAATATCAGATCTCTTGTATTTGATTGTTGAAGTACATTCTTGTATATATTTTTGCATTAAGTTTATGAAACAATTCACAGCATGTTCAGGATCATTGTGTTCATAAATTTCGGACCAATTTTCAGCTTGAATGTGAGAAACTAATCTCATTTTATTGAGATATTGTTTTGTTGAAAGTGTATTTTGAATGTCTCTTTTTTTTTTCAGGCAGACAGATTTGTAATACTATAGGATAATCCATCTCCATCACAACTGGTATACAGAAACTTTCATCGATAGTATTTTTCAAAAATATATGATCAATACATGTTCTGGAGTTTTTAATGGAGTTCACAAAGAAAACGTTGTCGATACCTCTTCAGAAGATATCAAATCCTAACTCTGATTGATATTTATACTCTTGAAATTTTTTTCTACATCCATAAGAATAGAGAAGTATCAATCGCAGTCATTTTTATAGCTATGATACTAGGGGCAAAACAGAGTTTTGTATAGCATGTGTTTACCTAACAATGAGTAAAAAATATTTAAATGTTCTGGTCTCAAACTACACAAAGTTCTTTCCAACGAAGATCTGTATCTGGAACCTATTTTCAGGGAAAAACCTAACAACATTTTATTACAATCAAATGATATCAAATACTTCGACTATTTTTGGAATTTCAGTGTATTAATACATCATATCTTATTTGATGTTTACGTCTTGTTTGTTCTGATTCAGTTATTTTTGTAAAGTTTGACTCGTCTTATAGCTTGTTTTCAGCACAGTTCTTTTTAAAGTTCCTTAGACATAGTAATCATTGAGTAACATTGATGCAGTTGAAATCGATGTAAAATATAACAGTATAAAACAATAAATAATAAAATGACCGCAAAAATTTTGAGCATTCTAAGGAGTTGTCCCTCTGTAATACTGAATATATCCAGTTCGCAGTTCGTCACCATTTTGTTAACGGTTTCAAGAAATTGTTGAAGAGGAGACAAATTGTTTGAGGCACGAAATTGATTGTCTCTTCTTCTCAGTCTTACGTCAGCTACAGTTAAATCGATAGTATAGAGAATTTCAGATACTTTCAGATGTTAAAAACCAAAATCATTTCCGAGGACTCACGGCGGTCTTTCGATGGTTGCATATTAAATTCTTGTAATTGGCTAGAATACGATTTAAATAAAGGCCAGACATTGTGTTTTCTCAAAAAGAGTGTTCTTAATAATCGTTTCTGGACTTTTCCTATAGTATCAGAATATAAAAAGGTCTTTGGAATCCAAATGACACAACCATATTCCAGTTTAGCACGAACAATGGAGTTAAAGAGTATCAAACAAGTATCGTGATTGAATTCAGGGCTAGATCTTAAGACAAAGCTTATTTTTCTATAAAATTCAGATACTAAGTATTTAATGTGCAGAGAGAAACTCGACATACCAGTAAAATGATCCCGAGATCTTTCATCTCGTTGATTCTCTGTAAATTGGTGTGATTAATGAAATAGTCCTTGTTAGTGGGTGACTTCTTTCATGTGAAACTCATTATTTTGCATTCAGCTTCGTTGAGAGATAGGTCAGATACTGAAAAGTAGGTAGATAGATTATTGAGATCATCTTGAAGCATATTAGAATCTCTTTCGCTTTTGATTCTTCTAAAACGCTTGAGATCATCGGCATATAGGAGAAATTGGGAATGCCCGATATACCGAGAAACGTCATTAACAAATAACATAAAAAGAAGAGGTCCAATAATCGAGCCCTGCGGAACTCCCGAAGTAGCGGAAGCATTTATAGATTGATTAAGACATTCATCTCATATGAATAAGGCATTGCACAGGAGGAGAGTAATTAATTATGAACCAAAACAATCCCAAGAAGGATTCGACACATACAACAAAAGACCCAATAAACTGTTGAAGACACTGTTGGACTATTTATTTGTGAATCTGTGGCAACACTGTCTCAACCACGTTTTGTAATTTTATCATTGTTATTTTCCGGTTTCCGGTTAGTCTGTCACTTTGTTGTATCCAACTCATGTCACATCTGATTGTACTTACTGTTGTGTTCAATAAATATCAAAGTAATCTACCCTGATCTGTAGAATTCTAGATTTTAACAGACACAACGAAACCAAAGACCGGAGACTTGGTAGAAATGTACGGGCCAGACGACTCCCAACAGAAAAATACGCGAAGTAATTATTTCAAAATTGTAAAAATCATTCAAGGAATGAATTCATGAGCGCATCAATAAATCTTTGTTTTGCTACTATCCAATATTCGTATTAACTTCAACAATTGATGAGTTTGAAAATGATCCAACATTATTTCGAGTATTCCTTCAGGGCTAATCCGGTTGAACTATAACGCAAAACTCAGTCACCTTTGAAAAAAGTTCCGTTTATGGCCGCTGCGCCGTCCTATTGTGCGCTACACGCTTCTTCGTTCCATTATAGTAAAAATAATGAAATATTGTGATGGTAGATGTTTTATTCGAATGGAGCTCGAGGCGCTCACTAATAACATCACTTATCGTGAAGTTGTAGTTATTTAACATTAATATTGTGCGAGATTATAAAAAAGACAGCCGTGGCCTTGACTGTGCCTGCATGAGCGGGGTCAGGAATGTTATATTATGAGAATCTTTGCCTGATGCCGATTTTTTCTTCTGGATAATAGCTCTCATGCAACTTTGCGGTCTGGCGATCCCTTCCAAGTCGTAAGTTCTACCAGGAATTGTATTAGGAGACAAGTGCTCTGTTACGAATTCTGAGGATATAAAAATTATTTAACGACTCTATACTAGCACTCCCAGATATTTTCATAGTGTAGTTATTTTCGTCAATTCATCGTCCATAAGACATTTGAAAACTATGGATCAGAAACAAATTTTGATACATCAGATTCGTTACAATAAAACCTATTAGATAGGATTACGGAGTAAGCGACACCTAGGTTCAATAATTCGAATGTGGAACTCTAGGAAAACATTGAATATTGCCACAAGAAACAGCGGTCACAAATATTCCAATATTCAAATATGATTTCAATGGACCCCACGAGACATTTCGGTGTATCCTTTTCGAAGCTCTGGTCTATCAGGTATATTCCTCATAATCTTAAGGGGCTGTAGAGAATCATGCCTCAGAGCCGTAGGGAGCTGTGTGGCATGGTTAAGTTGTTAGAAACGCAAGTTTCTAAATGCACAAATGTCTACTGTTGTAATTTTTCACAAAAAATTATGCCTGTTCACAATGACTAGTAAATTCAAAAGAGTCAAATTCAGGAGTATGTGTTCATGCACAGATTTTCCTTGGATCCAAAAGGAACAAAGAAATCATACTCTGAATCTTTCAGT